AGATCCCCACCACCAAAACTTTGCTATGTGAACCCAATACACAGCTGAAGACTGAGGCAAAGAAGGCAGTACCTTGGCTACCTTCAGTACCTTGGCTTTTTCACTGTTGCCTCTGAGAGGCACCCAAGAACAAGAAGGTATTCAAACTAATGCTGACTTTTGTGGCACATTACAGTGTTTCTCAGCCCCTTTTCAATAGTACTTCAATATTCAAGCTAAGCATGATGACCTTCTCCAAGTAAAACTTCACTGTGCCAAGGGCAGCTGTTGATGTAGGGTCCAACTTGTATTTCTTCTGGAGAGTTCAGCCATCAGTTGTCCATACCTTGTTGTGAGCCTTCAGACATGCTGCGTAGGCTGTCGCACAAAGAGACCCTAAACCCAGCCAAGATCAACAAGGGAGAATCTCTGGATCATGAAGAAGTCCTCCCCCATATCCCCTGTGCATAGTCAAGGACAAAGATGCTGGCCAGAGACGAAATGACATGACTGACACCCCACTCCCCCCCAGCTACTACATTGGACCAGTGGTATCAAATTAGGCTTGAGAAAAGCAGAGCTATGCCTCTAGAGTTGTGCTGAGTGGTCCTCACATCTCCTGCAGGCCCGGCCCTTTATATCCACCACATTCCTCTCCTTGGCTGGTTTGGGCTGTTCTTTCTCTAAAAGCCATCATTTTTGCTTGGCTTGCTTTAGTCCTTATAAATCCAGGCTGTTTATTACACATGACTTCATATTTGTCTCAAATGGCTCCATATTTGTCTGGATACATAAATATTCTTTTCCCTCCATGCTCCTTAATAGTTTCCCCAAACGTTTTCCTGACTTGTATTTTTTGGGCACAACTGTGTTAGGAATAGGAAGAAAGACGAATACTTTGCTCTGACTACAGATGTACTAGCTTATCCAGAACTAATTTTGGTAGGAGTCTGCCAACACAAGATGTCCGGGCCAGTGCTTTTCATGCTGTCTGCTGATTTTTCTCCAGGGTTTCATTTTTCTAGGCAGAGTGCTGGATGTGTTCACCCTGCCCTGAGAGCATGCACAGGTTAATGGTAGGGAGGGGAGAGGGAAGGTGCCATCCTGCACTACACCAGTCCTCTTCTTGCAAAGCCATCAAAAGTTTCTTTTTTTTATTATTTTTTTTTTTTTTCCTTTTTTTTCCCCTTTTAATTCAGACAAATGTTCCTGGAAACTTGAGGCACTCATCTTGTCCATAACCGAGTTGTACATACTGGAGAGCTCCTAATAATGTAAATCCATTAGGCTTAAATGATAAAAGCAGAAAATAACTTTGCGAGACAGAAATGAAAAAGAAGCTGGCTATTATGGGTTAGATCTATATTTAGCACCTTGGATTCAAAAGCACCATAGATTGTGAAAATTAAAAACAGACCAGAGCATCCACTCCATACAAATGCAAGAGGTAATGCAGATGGCAGAACAAACTGCTGTTGTTGTTTGTTTGTTTTCCAGAACCCCAAACACCTTAAACGCAGAGGGAGCTGGAATTGGGGATGAAGGGGACAGTAAGCAGCACACCCAAACCAAAGTGAGGCCTCAGGAGGCAAGAAGAGATCAAAGGTGAAGTATTTAGTTATGTGTTCAGGGAGGGACACCTAGCATGAAGCAACGTTGCTTGCTGCTTTGGCTCCAAGGCATATGGTGAGTAAATAATATGTTATTAATAGCTCACAATAACCAGTCTGTTATCATTGCTTGTATCAAACAATGCTAAGGAAGGAACTGTACAAATTAAAAGCACAATATTCTTTAATTGCAATAATAATGCGGGGACACTCTGCCTCTCTTACATAATATAACAGTCAAGGTAATATAAGAAACTCATAATATGACTGGTCTGATGCGTGTCACATTCTCCAGATGCTCCTACTTAAAATATGTCAACAAACAGTTTCTGTGTGTGGTATTGTAACACCTACAGAGCCTCAGCCATGCAGTGGGAACAGACCCTGCAGGCTCTGCCAAGATTACCTCTGAATCTATGTCCCATACAGGTAGGGTTTTGGGGCCATCCCATCACTCTTGCCTGCAGTAATGAGCTTTCTGTCTGCACCCATTCAGTAACTGGTAAGCTGGAGAAATCCACTGGTTTGAGGTTTCTCCACTGCACTAGTCCTTGACATATCTCCAGAGGGTTTGCCTTTCCACTCACATTCCAGCTCAAAGGAGAATAACTGAAGTCTCTCGCCAAGGATGTTCACAGAATCACAGAATTTCTAGGTTGGAAGAGACCTCAAGATCATCGAGTCCAACCTCTGACCTAACACTAACAGTCCCCACTAAACCATATCCCTAAGCTCTACATCTAAACGTCCTTTAAAGACTTCCAGGGATGGTGACTCCACCACTTCCCTGGGCAGCCTGTTGTTCCCTTTCTCACTGCTGGTGTCTTAGCTCAGGTGTGTCCCCTGACCAGAACCACTGCAGGGATATCTACAAAGAGGAATGATGTCCAGGATACTCAGAGCAGACTAAGTTACTTAAGCTAGGCATTGTTTTAGAGTTTGAAATCACCGAAGTGCCATGAATGAATAAATCACTTAGATAAAATGCAGAAAAGAGTCCAGCTTACCAAGGCTAAGATAAAGCCCTGAGTGGTATTTTTGAGTTTCTCTAAGTAGGAGAAATTCCTCCTATTAATTGAGGACCTTTTATTTCTCTCTCTGACCCTAATAATGCTCTCTTTGCTAAGAAAAAGCACAGTCCACTCCCTCTCCTCCCTACTCATCTTCTAGAAATTTGTTCCAATAAATACCATGCCAGCATGCATTGTACACCAGTTATATAGAGTGAAACTTCTGAGCTTGTACCTTACTCATTGAGACTCCCTAAAACCTGCACATACAGAGGAAAGGGAAAAAAAATCTTGTGAATGGCTGTGTTGGGTCTCTACACTCGTGCTTAAACTCAAGGATGATCATTTGTTTTTAGAGCTGTGTGTTGTACTTTGCAAAGCTCTTCAAGTGTGTCCCACTGGTTAATTACACAATTTTAAACTTGAAACAGTTTGGGTTGTTCTATATTTGAGTCCAGAAGGGACAGGGAAGTAAACATGCTTCTGGGATGACCTATTACTATTTAAAGCAGAAAAGAGAGAGCAAATGAGTGGAGTTTTCGTACCCTTGGGATGCAGGCAAATCTCTGGGGGGCTAACAATGGCATCTGGTTTGAGATCATGGGCTGGAAATTTCTTGTCTGTACAGAGACGATTCCTAGAGGCCATACTTCATGTAGACTTGGGGTAGTTTCTTAGCACAGAGCATATGAACAGGTTGGTTATAGCCACATCTGGGCTGCTTCTTATTAATACATATGAATGTCCATAAAATTAAAGTCTGTTGAAGTGTAAAAATAAAATTAAATTAAAATTAAATTAAAATTAAAAAATCAACCCTTTGCACCTGTAATACTGTGCCTGGCACTACAACGGAGTCTGCATTGATCACCCTTTCCTGGATGGCATACACACAGGCACATGTACTAAAAAGGCAACCACTTCGGCTCTTCACATCATTTTTTTATTTTTTTTTCCTCAAATGGAAAGTATATATGCTTCCAACAACTCCATCATTCTTTCACTGGCACCAACTCCACCCTCCCTGACATTGCCTGATGTCCATCCCGGAGCCATCGCCTGATGGGGATCCCAACTGAGCTCATTTCTGGCAGGGGGAAACTCAAATGAGGCCATAAGGATTTGGGTGACTGTTCCCAGTGTGGTGCCCAATGTTATGCAGCTCAGGCTGTGCCTTCTCACAAGACAGAGTCAGTGGCAGCAGGGTGAGAGGAGGATTCTTCTTACTCTCTTACACTTTAACCCTTCATCTCCAGGTATTTTTGTTTCCTGTCAGATTTAAGTAATCCAGCCTAAAAATAACTAAATAGTTAAAGAGAGGAGGAATTTAACAGACGGTTTGTTAAGCCAGTTCTCACTCTCTTGCTCAATGCTAGCCCTAGCCCTAACATCACTCTCTGGTTCAGGCTGGGGCTAAGATGCACACCTCTGTCCCACACCACAAACCTCCTCTCAGCACAGATCTCTTGGCTTCCCTAACTTTCCACTGCACACCCGACTCTAGCCCCACTCCAACCACACCTCCAGCAGATCTCTCTTGCTCAACCTCACCTTGAGCCTTTTGCTGCTAATCCCTATCACTGCTTTTCATATGTTATCTGAAACCAACGGCTAAAGCCTCAATAAGTTTTCAAGAACATCTGTTTGTTAATTCTCTGGGTTTTGACCTTACATGGAAAACGCTAAGCTGCCTTTCAGCCATTGTTGTTTCTGCCCAACGGTACTGTCCCTCTTTAAAACTTGCTAATTACATTAGCTGCCTCTCAGCTGTTACATGGGCAGCAGCCAGGAAAGGGATAGTGACAGAAGTGATTACCAAGAAGCAAGACTCTCTAAACGCACTGTCATACATAATCCTGCCACGCCAGTGGGAACAGACTGAGCAGCCTTGGGGGTCCTTTTCTTCCCTTTTGTAACCCTGGGCATACCCTGTCAGCCAGCTAACAGAGATTACAGCAGGTTTACTGCTACAAATTCAGGACATAAGCTCAAACAAATGCCTCCTCACTGAGCTGTCTGTACGCCAGAGGCAGGACCCGCACGTGTCGGGCAGGAGGGGAGGTGCACTGCTCAGCATATGCATCTCATGGGGTACCCAGAGCATCCTTCTCCTTTGCACCACTTCAGGGACACCTCCCACAAGCCCAGGTTGCCCAAAGCCTCATCCAGCCTGGCCTTAAGCACCTCCAGGGATGGGGCAGCCACAGCTTCTCTGGGCAGCCTGTGCCAGGGCCTCACCGCCCTCTGAGGGAAGAATTTCCTCCTAACAGCTGATCTGAATCTCCCTTCTTGTAGTTTAAAACCATTCCCCCCTGTCCTACCATTATCTGCCCGAGTAAAAAGCTGCTCTCCTTTTTTTTTTCACAAGCCCTTTTTTTGCCACACAGCACTCCAGGTGGGGCCTCATGAGGGCAGAGCAGAGGGGCACAATCCCCTCCCTGCCCTGCTGCCCACCCCTCTGGGGGTGCAGCCCAGGACGCAGTTGGCCTGCTGGGCTACAGGCACACACAGGCTACAGGCTGGCTGCTGCCTGGCTTTTTGGCCACCACAACCCCAAATCCCTCTCCTCAGGGCTGCTCTCGGTGAGCCCTTCTCCCAGTCTGTGCTCATGGCTGGGATTGCCCCAGCCCAGGTGCAGCACCTGCACTTGGCTTTGTTGAACCTTATTAAGTTCACATGGGTCCACTATTTCTAGCTTTTTAGCTCTCTTTCCACCTTACCTGCTTGAATTTTCTGGTGACTTTATTACCAGGAGCAGAATTGCAAAGAGATGCCACTGCTGTTATTTCAAAGCCTGCCTGCTGACACAGGATGCAGTGTGCACCCTTGGGGTCCAGCTGAGCAGTGCTTCTTCTGGACCGACAGGTAGCCCAGCCCTTCACAACACCCATGTGAGCCAGCTCGGTTTCCCTGGCACGCTTTGAACTCACACTTGCTGCTACCCACCCTGTGCAGCCCCGAGGAGCCCTGGCTGAAGACAGAAGGCTTTGGCTGCCCTGCCAGCACAACCTTACGGTAAGGTTACATAGTAGAAATGCTACCAATCAGATCCACAGCACAAGATCTGACCAGTTCTTGTTGCAATGTCCTTATCTTGTTGCAGGTGTCCTTATCTTTTCAGGTCAACAACACTTGAACCGTGCATGTCCCACCCACAGTTCATCGTGGGCTCTTTCAGCAGCCCAGGCTCTGCACAGGGAGAGTAGACAGACACGAGCTCCTTCTGCCACTGCCCTGAGCACAAGCCACATCCAGTCCAGCAGTCTTATCACCTCGTTAGCATGCTGGCACCGTGCCCGGGCAAGTAACATCTGCTGGAGCTAACGAGCTCTGCACACCTCTCCGCCCAGCCACACCTGAGCTGGGTTCGGGGTGCCCTTAGGTGACACAGCAGGGTGGCGAGGAATGAGAATCTGGGTCAAAAAGCCTGGCTCCCGAAGTGTGCTGAGCTATCCAGTGGATTTTGTCTTCCATATCCCAGACCTGTAAAAGGAGAGGACTTGCAGGCAAAAATGAAGATGTCCTTGGCTCAATTCAGCTGTAGGCCCAGGTGCCCCTTGGCTCTGGTCACATCGACCAGCACTCTTGGAAACTCAGAAACATCTCAGGTGGCACTAAATGCTCATATTTGTGCAACTGAATGAAGCCACAGATCCCCATTAGCTACAACAAGACAACAGAAGCTCAGATACCTTGCTGGCATGTGGACACATTTTTCCATTTAAAATGAAAAGATAAAGGCAGAGAAATCGGGACAATACCTCCCTCACCCAGTGGTTATTATTGCTTTCCAGAGAAGCCACACCTTATCAATCCAGCGTGTAAACCATCCTGTCAGGAACACAATAACTGGGTTGTGCTCTGAGTCATCAACAGGGCATGGTTATCCCAGGAAAGGCACAGACCTGAGGAACCCTTGGCCACGGGGCTGTTTGGGTGAAGGCCAGGATGCTATTATTTCATGAGCAAAGGTTCTCCAAATTTCCTGTAGATTCTTAGAGAGTTAAACAAGACAGAAACAATAATAACAACCTCTGAACAAAAAAAAACTGGGTTTATGGAAAGGAAAAAATGGAATACATATAATTAGAACTGTTAAAAATGTTCAAGCGAAGTGAACCCCATGTCCACAAAATGAGGAGGTTACCAAATGTTTGCTGATGCATTGGAAAAGTTCCCGTTTCAAGTGAGAAATTTTGCACTCTAAATAGTTTTCCAGATATTTGTTCTTCAGAGCCAAGTGACAAAAGCAGGAAAAGAAAGGATGAAGAAGAAATAACAGAGGTAAGAAATGGTTTGCGTTTTCAAACACACAGATTAATCTACAGTCAAAACCAACCAATTAGTTTTTAAACCCAGAAGACTTTCATAGCAAAAGATACATGTAAGAAATGTTCTGCCTTACTGTAGCCAGAAGAACTACGCAGAATAAAAGAGGTTCTGTCGGGTGTCAGGTTTATAGGCCCACAGGAAGAAGATAATATGGAAAACTTTATCAGAATATCAGCTGGGCAGTTATGCAGGTCTGTTTCACTGGTGGTCATAAACTGATAATATAGATCAGTTCTGATATAAACAAGGGAAGTTAGCCTCAATATATTCCTTGTACTTAAAATGTGCATTGACCTGCTGAAGGAATAATGGTCAAATCAACTCTCTACAATTTGCATCACGACTGGAATAAAACAGTAGGACAGCTGAAGTGGAAGAGTGGGATTCTGTATAGGTTTGTTTGCACCGACAGAGCAACTGTGTCCTAAATGTATGGGGAAAATAATGTAGAACTATCTACAGGCAAAAAATGGGAGGGAAATGCAAAAGCATACAAATCAGGGGAAGGCTAGTCTGGAAAAAGAGAAAGGAAAGTTTATTAGCTCCTCTCAGGTACTTATACAAATAGGTAAGGTCCCCTCTGAGCTTCCTCTTCTCCAGGCTGAGCAGCCCCAGCTCTCAGTCTCTCCTCAAAAATCCTCAGATGCTCCAGACCCTCATCTCTGTGGCTGGGCTCATGCCAATATCCCCCCCCCAGAAGCTCTGATGTGGGTTCCTGCCCCCACCAGACCAAGTGCTGGGAAGGCTGGGGCCCAGGCTTCTCCCTCTACCACCCTGAGCAGGTCTTGGGCTTCTCTGGAGCCCTGGGATAAGCCTTGGAAGGAAACAGGAGAACATGAGGAGAAGTTTGTTAGGGGTGGGTATTTTTCTATACCCCTATCTGCTCGGAAGAGCCTGCAAAATCCCCCCAGAAAACACAGACTCTGGAGTCTCAGCTCAGCGCTGTGGCATGGAGAAATGTAATGGTGCAAATTGCTGCACTAATTGAAAATGTCTCTTGGGGAATATAGGTCAACAGAACATAATCTGTCTCGCAGTTTGGCCAGCATACAGAAGTTCATACCTCCAGCAAACACTGCCATATGAGGTGCAGGGATTGTGCATGGTTAAAACCGAGGATTATATTGCATCCAAAAAGGGCAGGAGCAGTGCAAACAGTCAGAGTTAATCATCGGAGCCAGCCTCTCGCCCACCTCCTGTGCTTTCTCCCCAGAAAACAGGATGCCTTTCTTGTCTGCCAGTCGCTGTTCCCGGCACGAGCTGATGAGGCGTCTCTTTCTCCCCTAGTCGGTAAAAAATGGGCGGCTGTCTTCCAGGAAAGGCACAAATCTTCTTTGACAAGCAGCGATATTAACAGGGATTAGGGAATGCAAGAGCTACTGCAATAACTGTCCGAAGGATGCAGCCTGGGCTGCCCAGCCCTGGAAGCATTTGAATCACAGTGAGAGGCTAGACTGAGGAAGGGGCTGCATTTTCAACCCACCTCACTTTTAAAAGAGCATCAGGGAGATTTGCCAGCAATTTGTTTGCAGGATGAGAAGTGATAGATTGTTAACTCTTTGGTAGCAGCTGCTGCTTGAGCATCACGATCGCATCACTTAATGTGAAAGTTTCTGTCTCTTGAAGTCATGTCTGCGTTGGCATAGTTACAAGATCTTACTAAAAGAGCTGGGAAAATAAAAGTGTTTAGCTTTTGTGAGCAGCACAGTCATTTCTCTGGCTGCCACGTAACATAGATCAGCTCTTGAAAACTGGCAGCTTAGGTGCCATTTTGGCCCTGGCATCACGGGTCTCAGCACAGGGTGAAAAAAACCTGCACGTGTGATGGTGATCCTCTGGGTCTTTCAACGTGCCACCCATCGATGAGCTACGGATCATGCTGAGCTACGGAAACAGCAACACACGGAGCTACACGCTGGCTCTCGGCGGTGTTTGAAGCTGGTTACACCCAGCCATTGATTTCAGGCAGTTTCAAGTGAAGGATTTCTTCCTCGTCCATCGTCAAATAAAAAGGAGGACAGGGAGAGGACACTTGGACAGGAAAAGGGATGATTCAAAGCGCCCATCAACCTCAGTTGGCTCTGATTACTAGGTGTCTGCTATCCTGTATCAACAGCGTGTGGACAGCCATTAAGTGCATGTGTAAATAATCACAGCCACTGAGCCCCTCATGGATTCTAGCGAGAAAAATTGCCTGTGCAAAACTGCCACAGGATGTGCCTTATTCTCTGGTCTGTATTCATTATTCCCTTGTTTAAAATTTTCATTTACGTAATCAGAAACAATGCCGGGAGATCTCGGCCAGCAGCCGCACACCCTAACTAACCAGGAAGAAAAGCCAAAGCAAATATTCCTGGGTTCTGCAGCACACAGTACACACTGGGTAATTACCCACCCAAAATATTCAGAGAATAACAAGTACAGTATTAAAAAAAAAAGAGAGAGAGAGAGAGAGAGAGAGAGAGAGAGAATCAGGATTGGTCCATGAGCAATCCAGCGGCCAAATCTGGAAATAACAAATTATGATTTTGAATGAACCGTGCACATGGAGGGGTGATGGGTGCCAGAGCAGAACACCCTTTCCGCTGGCGCTTGGTGAGTGCCATGCCCCATTCAGCACAGCCTGCAATTCAGGGAACTTCAAAAACCCAGTGCTGGGGATGGCAGCTGCCCTTAAAACCCCGAGCCGTCACCCTGAGAACAGCTTCTGGGCCTGTGCCAGCCAAGCTGTGCTGGACCCGCTCCCGTATGTGTGCGGACTCACTTCCTTCGCTGCAGTACATCTGGTCCCTCCTTGGTGTGCTAATATAAATAAGGTCACTTGCACAAGCACGCCCTGTTTATCTTCCTCGCTGCAACCAGCTCTCACCCTCCCCAAATATGATCGCTATGTCCTCGCTCGCATGCCCTGCTCTGATGTCCCCGCTCCGGTTGTCACCCTCCTCCTGGCCAGAGCAACGTCGAGGCTGCCTCGCAATCAACACGAGTCCCCAGAAGTGGTCCTGCAGTCGGTGACAAATAAGATGTCATGATGGCTTGAAGGCTTAAGAGAGAGCAAGGGTCAAATGGATTATTCTCCTCATATAGCTCGCAGGTTTTCTGTTAAGAAAATCCCCTTCCAGTTATCAGCAAAGCAGGTCACAGAGATCACAGAGGCGGATTCTTCTCCAGCCAGCACTTCCCAGCTCCTCCCTCTGCCTTTGCCCCCCACCAGACCCCACCAGGAAAAAATCCTGTGAGTTTGTGTAGCTTACTCCAAAGCAGGTTACCCTTTATAATACTGATATCATTTAAATAAAGGATGTTAAATGTGTTCTTCCATGGTCTCAGGGCACAAGTTCTAAATAATGTGGCCTGAACAACTCTATCATGTGAGCAGATGTGCCTGTCTCTGATTTACCTCTGATGTGCAGAGAGATCACCTGCTTTCCAGGGCCCTGTGCTTTAACTAACATAGTAGCCTACTAATGGAAAAACTGATCTTAAAAATAGATAAATAGACAGATAGACAGGCAGACAGGTAGGTAGAATCACCTATATCCTATTATTTCAATGCATCTCAGCACTGAGATCTCAACATTCACATACAGAATGTTCCTTGCTTATTCTTCCATTTTCAAATGGTCTTCTCTGCACTGTAATTTCTTTACATTACTGTTACTCCAGAAGAAAATGTTTTACCTACAGTAAAAACAGTGGAAAAGACTTAAAACTGAAATGACTTTTTAGCATTTCTTTATTAAATTTAATTAAATTTATTAAATCCCAGATACCTGTGCCAAAGCCAGTGCTGTTGACACAAGTGGAAGTTCCCAGCAGACAGACTTGCTTAGTCCATATAGCACTTGGTCTGCCCAGGGTAGAGAGGCATATCTGACAGAGAGCACTGTGTTAATTTGCATTTAACACTCAAGACTATCCGATCAGGCATCCTGTAGAAAAGAGGAAGGAGAATAAAAACTAACATGACAGGAGATCATTTTTCCTGAGGCAGGCATGAATCTAATATCACACATCAATCAGGGGCTACTAACTGGCCAGATCTGCACTCATAATATTTACATTGATATAATTGAAGAAATCTTTCAGCTTGGCTTAAGACTTTTAACAGTCCTGTGAGGTGCAGACTTTGTTTTACCTACGAAGCATCTGGTGAGGAAAATGTCGGAAAGAGATTTTGCTCTTCTGTTTTGCTTTTACAATGCTCCATTGGTCCCTGCTTCACTCTAATATACCGAGAAAAACACGTTGCTCTCTGGCGTGACTATTTCTCAATTTTTCTCTTCCATTAGCGGCTTTGAACTCAAGACATCTATGGTTATTCCTGATTTTATCATCTTGCACAGGGCCACGACTTGACCCTAGTCAGTGAGGGAAACACATCCTTTGAAACAAGAGTATGGAAATAGAAATACTGGGTCCAGACATGTTTAACATCTTCATTAGCAATCTGGACACAGACAACGTGAAATGGGGGGAGTGGCTGACTCACCAAGGGGGCTGTGCTGACATCCAGAGGGACTTTGATATGCTGGAAAGGTGGGCTGCCAAGAACATCCTGAAGGTCAACACGGAGAAGTGCAGAGCCCTGCGCCTGGGGAGGAAAAACCCCAGGCACCAGGACAGGCTGGGGGCACCCAGCTGGGAAGCAGCTCTACAGCAAAGGACCTGGGGGTCCTGGTGGACACCAAGCTCAACGTGAGACAGCAACGAACCCTTTCTGCTAAGAAGGCTGATGGTATTCTAGCCCAGATGACTTCTAGAGGTCCCTGTCAACAGGGACCCTTCTTTGATTCTGTGAAACTCCTGAAATGGGTGGAATTGACCATGTTCAAAATGTGAATAGGAAATGACAGATCACGGTTCTGCAACTTACAGTAAAAGAAAACAACAGAAAAGTTGTTTTCTTAAAAAGAAAACAACAGAAAAGTTTCTGTTTTTTTTTTTTTTCAAAGGTGTCCTCCTTAATCTCTTTTGATATGTGCTCTCCTGTCTCAGTCCAGAAGGCGTGCTTCATGTGCATGTGTGTGGCAGGAGGGGAATGCCCAGCATTTGTATTTTTATTGTCTAGGAGACTTAGTCTCTAGATTGAGTTTAGTCCAAGACACATTTAACCATCCACCCTATGTGCCTATGAGATCATTTTTCTACACATAAAATTTGTAAGTGAAGATTTTCTTATGCTTACACAGCTTATTTCTATGATTATTTGCTAAACATTGAGAACTTCATTGGCACAAAACAGGACCCAGAATGAAGACATATCAAACCCTGAAGCCATTCTTCATGTGAAATATACCCCAAATGGCTATTCTGGCTGAAAACACAGAGTTAGGAGTTTCAAAACCACTTCCCTTCCTTGGAGTTCTAAGCATATTCATGACATTTCTGGCAAAAGAGCTTAAACAACCATTCACAGAAATTTGTGCTGCATTCATCTCAAAAGCTTTCCTTTTAGCCCATGCAAAACCAGTTTTTCAGTGCAAAATATACAGTTTCAGCAAGATTAAGATTGTTTATACAAGATTTTTAAATGCAAATTCAGGAGAAATAGTAACGAAAAAACATCACTTTTTTAAGTTGATAGTTACAATGTTGATTCTTCATGAAGCAACCCACTTCTTCCCACACAACATCCTTGTCTCTAAATTGGAGAGACATGGATTTGATGGATGGACCACCTGGTGGTTAAGGAATTGTCTGGAAGGTTGCACTCAAAGAGTTGCGGTCAATGGCTCAATAACCAGGTGGAGATCAGTGACGAGTGGTGTTCCTCAGGGGCCAGTATTGGGATCAGTGTTGTTTAATATCTTCGCTGGCGACATGGACAGTGGGATCGAGTGCACCCTCAGTGAGTTTGCTGATGGCACCAAGCTGAGTGGTGCGGTTGACACACTGGAGGGAAGGCATACCATCCAGAGGGACCTGGGCAGGCTGGAGAAGTGGGCCCACGTGAATCCAATGAGGTTCAACAAGGCCAAGTGCAAGGTGCTGCACCTCGGCTTGGAACAATCCCAAGCATAAACACAGGCTGGGCAGAGAATGGATTGAGAGTAGCCCTGAGAAGGAGCTGAGGGTATTGGTTGATGAGAAGCTCACCATGAGCCTGCAATGCATGCTTGCAGCCCAGAAACCAGACGTATCCTGGGCTGCATCAAAGGAAGTGTGGCCAGCAGGGTGAGGGAGGTGATTGTCCCCCTCTGCTCTGCTCTCATGAGACCCCACCTGGGGCACTGCGTTCAGCTCTGGGGCCTCCAGCACAAGAAGGACAGGGACATATTAGAGCAAGTCCAGAGGAGGACCGTGAGGATTATCAGAGAGCTGGAGCCTCTCTCAACCTCTCCTATGAAGACGGGCTGAGGGAGCTGGGAGTTGTTCATCCTGGAGAAGAGGAGTGGTGGTTTTACTCAGGTGGACAGCCGAGTTCCACCATGGTTGCTCTCTCATTCCCCTTCCTCTTTGAGGAAGGAGAGAAAATATGACACAAAGGGCTCAAGGGTTGAGATAAGGATGGGGAGATCACTCAATTGTCATAATGGGCAAAACAGACTCAGAGTAGGGAGACAGTAAGATTTTTTTGTCTATTACTAATAAGATTGAGAAGTGAGAAGCAAAGGAAAGAAACCAAAAATGCTTTCCCCCAATCTGCCCTCTTCCATTTCCTCCCCCCAAGCAGCGCAGGGGAATGGGGCTGTGGTCAGTCCCTGACATTCCGTCTCTGCCACTCCTTCATGGTCCCTCCCTGCTCCTGCTCCCTGTGGGGTCCCTCTAATGGGATCCTGGCACCCCCAGCCTCCTGCTCCTGCATGGGCTCCTCTCCACGGGCTGCAGCTCCGGCCCGGGGCCTGCTCCTGCGGGGGCTCTCCATGGGCCGCAGCCTCCTCCAGGCCACATCCACCTGCTCCACCGGGGGCTCCTCCACCCATGGGGGGGCTGCAGCATGGAGATCTGCTCCATGTGGGACCCATGGGCTGCAGGGGGACAGCCTGCTCCACCAGGGGCCTCTCCCTGCACAGGCCGCAGGGGAACTGCTGCTGCCTGCCTGGAGCACTTCCTGCCCTCCTGCTGCACTGCCCTGGGGGCTGCAGAGCTGGGTCTCACTCCTCTCTCTCTCCCAGCTGCTGTGTAGCAGCAATGTTTTTTTCCCCTTTCTTAAACCTGGTCTCACAGAGGTGCAAACAACATCGCGTATTGTCTTGGCTCT